GAGAAGTCTGCAGTCTGATAGGTTTTCATTTGTAGGTTATCTGTTGTTTTCGTCTTACTGCTCAAAGGATTGCCTCTTTCATGTTTACTTTGGCCAGTCTGATAATTATGTGATGTGGTGATTGCCTGTTCACATTGAGTCTCAAAGGAGTTCTGTGTGCTTCTCGTATCTGGATATCTAGGTTTCTGGCCAGGCCAGGCATATTTTCATCCAGTATTCCAAGAAATAGATTTTCCAGCCCTTGTGTATTTTCTTCTTCTCTCCCCGGGATGCCTATAATTCTCATATTTGGTTTCTTTAAATAACCTCACATCTCTTGTATGCTCTGTTCTTGTCTCTTGCCTCTGTGTTCGTTTTCTTCATCTGATTTGTTTAGCACATAGGCATTATCTTCAAGCTCTGAGATTCTTTCCTCTGCATGATCCATTTGTTTTTAAGACTTTCCACTGTGTTTTAAAGTTCCTTGAAAGCTCTTTCGTTTCCAGGATTTCTGTTTGTTTTTTTCATAATATTTCAGTTTCTTTAGAGAATTTTTCATTCGTTTCCTGTATTGTTCTCATGGCTTCTTTGTGTTGGGTTTCTATTTTCAATTCCTTTGAGTTTCCTTACAATCTATATTTGGAATTCTTCCTCCATCAATTTAATCATTTCATTTAAATTAGTAACCGATTTTGAGGGTCTTATTTTTTTGGGGGTGACTTCTCTCTGCTCTTTCATATTCCCTACATTCTTTCTCTGGTTCTTTCTCATCAGGGTTATTGATTGAAGACTGGGAGTGCTAGGCCTGGTTTGTGCCCTTAACTTCAGCCCCCAAGGAACGTTCCTTGACAGTGGTGGGAGGAGGTGCACTGGTCTTGTATTGCCTTAGAAGTATTTTGGCAAGTTGGGTTACCTCTGACCTGTTGTCTTCACCTCTTGCCAGTGGAGATTAGTGAGTTTGGTCCCTCAGCTTAAGATCCCACGTGGTGAATCGCACCTGTGTGTGTAACTCCACTGCCGTCTCATTAGCTTGAGATGGAGGGCACCGTGTTAAGCTATGGGGTTACCCTCTCTGTCATTGGTTGTAGATTGCGTGGAAGAGCCAGTTATTGAGGTAATCTGATGCCTCTGTGTTGGTCTCTGGTCCCTGGCTGAGGAATACTAATGCCCCAATCTTTAGGAAGGGTCTTGCCATTCCCAGGATTACTTGGACCCTATTCTGGCTTAAAGTGGTGGTAGGAGCAAGGCAGATCGCAGCTGCTGCCTACCGGCCTGGTTGAGTGCTTCTAGGGTAGCTTGATCTGCCACCAGGGGGAGCCGCTAACATATTATTCAGGGTTCTTCCACCATGCTTGGGAGGCTGCTCCTGTTGGGAGGGGTTACTTGGTACACCTGCTGGGATCTCTGGCCAGGATTTTCTTTCCCTGACCATGAACCCCACTGTCCGCAGCCTCCTGGATGTGGAGAGCAAGCCCTAGAGTTATGATCTTATTAGATGACCTAAGGCAGTCCCAGGGGCCAAATCACTGGGCTGTCAATTACTGATCTGCGCCGAGGCCCCCACAGATTCACGCCAGTCACACAAGGAAAGTGGCTTTTCTTGCTTCTCCCTACCTCCTGAGGCAGAGCCCACCAGTCCAGGCATGAAAGCCGCTGTGCTAGGAGAGGGCTAACGCCCAAGACATCCCAGTGCCCCAGCGCCTGGGAATCCTGCAGGTGGTGGCCTCCCACCACTGGGGAACTAGCCTTGTAGGGAAGCACTCAAAATTCGCCCGTTGATACAGGCCTGACTAGCTGAATTAATAGGTTGCGGAAGGTTGGACCCTGTCCCGCCTGGCGTGAGAGTCCCTGGGCTAGGGGAGGGGTGCTGCCCAAAACCGTGGCGCGCCACAACGTCCAGGTTGTGGACCCCCAAAATGGCAGCTGCCCATCCGCAGAATGCTGGCGCTGAGGGCAACTATTCAGGAGTTGGCGGATGCCGGATGGGAAGCTGAGTCAACAGGACACCTGCTGTCTCTTGTGTGTCACCCTCCTGCAATCTAGCGCCTGTCCAGCAGGTCTTGCTCTTTCTGACCCGCCCTAAGCCTGCCTAATCATCAGTGGTTTCCAGCGTAGAGCCCCCTTTTCAGTGTTCACCTCCTTTGTTCTGGACCCACTGACCACCAGAGGCAAGGCCTGTCTCCTAACTCCCTCGAGCTGTCGCTCAGACCAGTCCCTCCCCTGCACAGTGCAGTCCTAGCACAGAGCACCGGGGAGTTCAAGATGTTTCCCACTATTGTCTGCTCTCCACAGAGCCCGCCATCTGGTGCTGTGATTTTGCACCAACTTCAGGCACATCCCTGTCTGAGTGAGTGTGGAGGTCAGTGGGGGAGCAGGGCGTTCTCCTGTGGGTCAGCTCCCACTGCACTCAATGGCCAGGCGGGTGCGGCCATCCCATGCTATATTCTCTTTATCTCGCGCTCTCCAGAGTTTGTGATCCTATCTCCTATTCACCTTTATTTCCGCCCTGTGTTGTGTGACCCACGCTGCTTCTCTGCAGTTTCACAATGCTGTTCTTGCAGGGGAGCGATGCACTTGTGCGTAGCTGTCCAAGTTCTTCACCTCTTTCTCTGGGAGCAGAGAGCCAGGAGGTTACCTCTGCTCCACCACTTTTCACCCCCCTCAAAGTATTTTTTCTTAACACTTTGATAATGCTCACCATGTGCTGTGACTTAGATATTTTGTTTCTAGAAGTCTTTGGGAGTAGAGAGAGAACAAAAGTTATGTTTCACTTAGAAATAAGAATTTTTATTCAAAATGAGATGATTAAATTTTGACATAGCATTAATTTTATGTAACTATTAAAAATAATGCTTTGGAAAGTTATTTAATATTACCAAAAAAATTGGTCAAGATATATTTAGTAAGATAGATTGTGGAAAAAAATAAAAGGTCCAGTAAGTAATCCAAATGCATAAATGAACACTGGTATATATGATAACAGGTACTTCAGAATGATGAGCAAAAGATAAACTATACAAGAAAGAAATGATATTTAAATCAACTAGGTAGTCATCTGGAAAAACTATTGGATCCTTGTCTCACACTATTAATATATATCAAGATAAATCCAAATGTATCATAGAGGTAAATGTAAAAAAAAAAAAAGAAACATAAGAATACCTTAGATTCAGGTAAAACCTTGCTATTATGTGAAATCCATAAAAGAAAAAAATTGTTAAATTTTTTTGTGTAAGAAAAACAACAAAAACTTCTGCATGGCATTAAAAAAACTATAAGTCAAGAGACAAATGAAAAACAATAAAACAAAGTTAAGGCCAGTACAATTACAGGCAAAGGGGTCAGCTCTCTAATATATAAAGAATTTGTACAAATCGGTAATAAAAAGACACCCCAGTAGCTAAAAATGGCAAAGGATATGAGCAAACAGGTCACAGAAAAGGATATACTTATGGCTTAAAAACATGGAAAATTTTTAAGCTCACATATGTAAGAGAAATGTAAATTAAAACTACACTGAGGTACCATTTTTCAGATTTCCAGAAATTCTGAAGTTCCGTATCATCCTGAATTATCTGTGTGTACATAGGCACTCTCATGGAGTGATGGTAGGAGTATAAGTTGTTTCAATTTTTATGGAAGACAATTTATTGATAGCTGTCAAGACTATAACAGTTTATACTGTTTGAGCTAGTAGTTTGACTTTTAGGACTATATATTGTAAATATGTATATGTGAAATAACGTGTACAAGATTGTTAATTGCAGCATTTTTATAACACTAAAAAAATTATAAACAACTTCAGTGTCTATCAATAGGGGAATGTTTGAAAATATCATGGTACATTCATGTAGTG